ACAAGAAATTCCAACGTCATAATTTACTACAATAACACATTTATCACTAGATGTTACTAAACAAAAATAAGATTTATGATTTTTTTGCTATATCCTCTTTGTTTTTAAGGGCAAAGCTAGACAATAGGCTGTTTGCACTGTACCTACCGCGGGTATTTAATCCTGATTTTTGGCGTTATATGTTTTGCGGACATACCACGCTAGAAATCGGGTTTCGATACCCGTGGTGGGCAGAGCACATATAACCCATTGTGTAGCTTTGTGCTTAACTACAAACAAACCAATAAATTTAAGAGTACAAAACACAATGAAAGGTAAATTCTTTATTATTATTTATATCCGGCTAGTTTCGGTAACACAACTACCATCATCCAGTCGTAATTATCATCAGTTCCAGAAATACTCAACTACAGTAGAGGACATAGTGTTGCCATGTTTTTATGTTTTAGTGGTGTTCTTTCGTTTTTTAATTTTCTTCTTGTTTGTCCTATGTACATTTTATTGTAGCTATAAAGTATTTGGTAAATTCAATTTTTATCCTCTAAAAAAGACCTCTTTTAAAGTACTGCACTTACGTTAATACTGCTGAAATCCGCGGGAAAAGTTTGGAACATATTACAGGCTGTAAAAATATTTTACAAAAAAAAGTACTACTACTACTTCAGTAAAATACAAGAATGAATATAATAAAATATCGTATTTACAATAAAACTTTACAAATTTTCCGGTGGTTGAGCGGTAAATGTGAGGACCTCATGACGGTTTCACAACACACAAATAATTTACTATGTGATATTTGCAAAAAACAAACAAACAAAACAAAAAGTTTAAAACAGTATAGACCATTTTGTACTCTGTACTACGGACTATCTTAGTAAACAATCCAAACTGCCGCTACACCGATAATATTGTTACGTCTCCGTTCGTTAGTTAATTTTCCGTAAATTTCGTTCCGACGAAACTTTACCGATACAAGTCCTTTCTTAATTAAAACTGGTTTGTTCTTT